TTGCAAGGTTGCTGTGAGAAGCACAACTGGTGAAGGAGCTGCAGTGATTCCAGTTGTCCTTGGCCTTGTAGTTGTTGTTGATCCTATAGGTGTAGATCAGTGAATGAGGAGTCAAGGTAAACATTATTTGGCACATTGCCAAGCACTGATACTTTGTGGTGGATATTTAGGTACACGTGGTAAATGTTTACTTACGAATGACTTCGATGGAGGCTGGATCGATACTGAGGTTGAAGGTGTTGCTTGCGTTATTCACAGCAACTCTCAAGGTTTCTGCAACAACATCGGCCTGTGGGATTCGATCGGGTGATGCCGTGTTGTTGAACTCTAGCCCCACCTCTGCTTGGATGTTTCCCATTTGTGGCCTATCATCACAAAAGCACATTTCTTTAATCAACCGGTTTTATTTTAAAATATCACGTTTGCTAAACTTTGACTTTACATTTTTTTTCTAACAATTCACTCAAATTCTTTATTACACATGACCAATTCCCACAAGATCCTTCTCTAGTTATGAGTTGATTAACTTTAGGTCAGAGACTTAGAGTGTTGTTGCTGTGCACCTGTCTGTCTGTCTGTCTCTCGCTCTCTCTCTCTGCCTCTCTCTCTCTCTCTCTCTCTCTCTCACCCCAACTGGTCGAGACAGACGACCACCCACCTAGAGCCGGAGGATCTGTCCTAGGTTTCTGCCTTTTAACAGGCAGTTTTTCCTTGCCCTTGTCGCCAAGTGCTTGCTCATGGTGGTACTGTTGGGTCTCTGTAATTAATGTTAAAGAGTTCGGTCTAGACCTGCTCTATTTGAAAAGTGTCCTGAGATAACTTCTGTTATGAATTGGCACTATACAAATAAAATTGAATTGAATTGAAATTAAAGGGGGAAAACGTTACCGAAATTGAATGACAAAGGTGCGGATGAAAAGAAGCCCAAATCTCTCACTGAAGATGAAGTCGCACTGTAAGCGGGAAACAGTGGTGAGAAACATGAAGCATTAAAGTCACAGGGCTTTTTAAGTAAAATCAAACAGAATTTAAAGTTGAGTCACAACAGCAACAATTGTTAGAATTTACTTAAAATTGTACGTACGATTGCTAAAACTTGTCTTTCAAGATTTCTGTATTCCGCGCTGCTGCGATTGTTGAGTTCTTCTACAAATGGTTCTTGCAAGGTTGCTGTGAGAAGCACAACTGGTGAAGGAGCTGCAGTGATTCCAGTTGTCCTTGGCCTTGTAGTTGTTGTTGATCCTATAGGTGTAGATCAGTGAATGAGGAGTCAAGGTAAACATTATTTGGCACATTGCCAAGCACTGATACTTTGTGGTGGATATTTAGGTACACGTGGTAAATGTTTACTTACGAATGACTTCGATGGAGGCTGGATCGATACTGAGGTTGAAGGTGTTGCTTGCGTTATTCACAGCAACTCTCAAGGTTTCTGCAACAACATCGGCCTGTGGGATTCGATCGGGTGATGCCGTGTTGTTGAACTCGAGCCCCACCTCTGCTTGGATGTTTCCCATTTGTGGCCTATCATCACAAAAGCACATTTCTTTAATCAACCGGTTTTATTTTAAAATATCACGTTTGCTAAACTTTGACTTTACATTTTTTTTCTAACAATTCACTCAAATTCTTTATTACACATGACCAATTCCCACAAGATCCTTCTCTAGCTATGAGTTGATTAACTTTAGGTCAGAGACTTAAAGGGGGAAAACGTTACAAAAAATTGAATGACAAAGGTGCGGATGAAAAGAAGCCCGAATCTCTCACTGAAGATGAAGTCGCACTGTAAGAGGGAAACAGTGGTGAGAAACATGAAGCATTAAAGTCACAGGGCTTTTTAAGTAAAATCAAACAGAATTTAAAGTTGAGTCACAACAGCAACAATTGTTAGAATTTACTTAAAATTGTACGTACGATTGCTACAACTTGTCTTTCAAGATTTCTGTATTCCGCGCTGCTGCGATTGTTGAGTTCTTCCACAAATGGTTCTTGCAAGGTTGCTGTGAGAAGCACAACTGCTGAAGAAACTTCAGTGATTCCAGTTGTCCTTGGCCTTGTAGTTGTTGTTGATCCTATAGGTGTAGATCAGTGAATGAGGAGTCAAGGTAAACATTATTTGGCACATTGCCAAGCACTGATACTTTGTGGTGGATATTTAGGTACACGTGGTAAATGTTTACTTACGAATGACTTCGATGGAGGCTGGATCGATACTGAGGTTGAAGGTGTTGCTTGCGTTATTCACAGCAACTCTCAAGGTTTCTGCAACAACATCGGCCTGTGGGATTCGATCGGGTGATGCCGTATTGTTGAACTCGAGCCCCACCTCTGCTTGGATGTTTCCCATTTGTGGCCTATCATCACAAAAGCACATTTCTTTAATCAACCGGTTTTATTTTAAAATATCACGTTTGCTAAACTTTGACTTTACATTTTTTTTCTAACAATTCACTCAAATTCTTTATTACACATGACCAATTCCCACAAGATCCTTCTCTAGTTATGAGTTGATTAACTTTAGGTCAGAGACTTAAAGGGGGAAAACGTTACCGAAATTGAATGACAAAGGTGCGGATGAAAAGAAGCCCGAATCTCTCACTGAAGATGAAGTCGCACTGTAAGCGGGAAACAGTGGTGAGAAACATGAAGCATTAAAGTCACAGGGCTTTTTAAGTAAAATCAAACAGAATTTAAAGTTGAGTCACAACAGCAACAATTGTAAGAATTTACTTAAAATTGTACGTACGATTGCTACAACTTGTCTTTCAAGATTTCTGTATTCCGCGCTGCTGCGATTGTTGAGTTCTTCTACAAATGGTTCTTGCAAGGTTGCTGTGAGAAGCACAACTGGTGAAGGAGCTGCAGTGATTCCAGTTGTCCTTGGCCTTGTAGTTGTTGTTGATCCTATAGGTGTAGATCAGTGAATGAGGAGTCAAGGTAAACATTATTTGGCACATTGCCAAGCACTGATACTTTGTGGTGGATATTTAGGTACACGTGGTAAATGTTTACTTACGAATGACTTTGATGGAGGCTGGATCGATACTGAGGTTGAAGGTGTTGCTTGCGTTATTCACAGCAACTCTCAAGGTTTCTGCAACAACATCGGCCTGTGGGATTCGATCGGGTGATGCCGTGTTGTTGAACTCTAGCCCCACCTCTGCTTGGATGTTTCCCATTTGTGGCCTATCATCCCAAAAGCACATTTCTTTAATCAACCGGTTTTATTTTAAAATATCACGTTTGCTAAACTTTGACTTTACATTTTTTTCCTAACAATTCACTCAAATTCTTTATTACACATGACCAATTCCCACAAGATCCTTCTCTAGTTATGAGTTGATTAACTTTAGGTCAGAGACTTAGAGTGTTGTTGCTGTGCACCTGTCTGTCGTCTGTCTCGCTCTCTCTCTGCCTCTCTCTCTCTCTCTCTCTCTCTCTCTCTCACCCCAACTGGTGAGACAGACGACCACCCACCTAGAGCCGGAGGATCTGTCCCAGGTTTCTGCCTTTAACAGGCATTTTTCCTTGCCCTTGTCGCCAAGTGCTTGCTCATGGTGGTACTGTTGGGTCTCTGTAATTAATGTTAAAGAGTTTGGTCTAGACCTGCTCTATTTGAAAAGTGTCCTGAGATAACTTCTGTTATGAATTGGCGCTATACAAATAAATGAATTGAATGAAATTAAAGGGGGAAAACGTTACCGAAATTGAATGACAAAGGTGCGGATGAAAAGAAGCCCGAATCTCTCACTGAAGATGAAGTCGCACTGTAAGCGGGAAACAGTGGTGAGAAACATGAAGCATTAAAGTAACAGGGCTTTTTAAGTAAAATCAAACAGAATTTAAAGTTGAGTCACAACAGCAACAATTGTTAGAATTTACTTAAAATTGTACGTACGATTGCTACAACTTGTCTTTCAAGATTTCTGTATTCCGCTGCTGCGATTGTTGAGTTCTTCTACAAATGGTTCTTGCAAGGTTGCTGTGAGAAGCACAACTGGTGAAGGAGCTGCAGTGATTCCAGTTGTCCTTGGCCTTGTAGTTGTTGTTGATCCTATAGGTGTAGATCAGTGAATGAGGAGTCAAGGTAAACATTATTTGGCACATTGCCAAGCACTGATACTTTGTGGTGGATATTTAGGTACACGTGGTAAATGTTTACTTACGAATGACTTCGATGGAGGCTGGATCGATACTGAGGTTGAAGGTGTTGCTTGCGTTATTCACAGCAACTCTCAAGGTTTCTGCAACAACATCGGCCTGTGGGATTCGATCGGGTGATGCCGTGTTGTTGAACTCGAGCCCCACCTCTGCTTGGATGTTTCCCATTTGTGGCCTATCATCACAAAAGCACATTTCTTTAATCAACCGGTTTTATTTTAAAATATCACGTTTGCTAAACTTTGACTTTACATTTTTTTCTAACAATTCACTCAAATTCTTTATTACACATGACCAATTCCCACAAGATCCTTCTCTAGTTATGAGTTGATTAACTTTAGGTCAGAGACTTAAAGGGGGAAAACGTTACCGAAATTGAATGACAAAGGTGCGGATGAAAAGAAGCCCGAATCTCTCACTGAAGATGAAGTCGCACTGTAAGCGGGAAACAGTGGTGAGAAACATGAAGCATTAAAGTCACAGGGCTTTTTAAGTAAAATCAAACAGAATTTAAAGTTGAGTCACAACAGCAACAATTGTAAGAATTTACTTAAAATTGTACGTACGATTGCTACAACTTGTCTTTCAAGATTTCTGTATTCCGCGCTGCTGCGATTGTTGAGTTCTTCTACAAATGGTTCTTGCAAGGTTGCTGTGAGAAGCACAACTGGTGAAGGAGCTGCAGTGATTCCAGTTGTCCTTGGCCTTGTAGTTGTTGTTGATCCTATAGGTGTAGATCAGTGAATGAGGAGTCAAGGTAAACATTATTTGGCACATTGCCAAGCACTGATACTTTGTGGTGGATATTTAGGTACACGTGGTAAATGTTTACTTACGAATGACTTTGATGGAGGCTGGATCGATACTGAGGTTGAAGGTGTTGCTTGCGTTATTCACAGCAACTCTCAAGGTTTCTGCAACAACATCGGCCTGTGGGATTCGATCGGGTGATGCCGTGTTGTTGAACTCTAGCCCCACCTCTGCTTGGATGTTTCCCATTTGTGGCCTATCATCCCAAAAGCACATTTCTTTAATCAACCGGTTTTATTTTAAAATATCACGTTTGCTAAACTTTGACTTTACATTTTTTTCTAACAATTCACTCAAATTCTTTATTACACATGACCAATTCCCACAAGATCCTTCTCTAGTTATGAGTTGATTAACTTTAGGTCAGAGACTTAGAGTGTTGTGCTGGCACCTGTCTGTCTGTCTGTCTCTCGCCTCTCTCGCCTCTCTCTCTCTCTCTCTCTCTCTCCACCCCAACTGGTCGAGACAGACGACCACCCACCTAGAGCCGGAGGATCTGTCCTAGGTTTCTGCCTTTAACAGGCAGTTTTCCTTGCCCTTGTCGCCAAGTGCTTGCTCATGGTGGTACTGTTGGGTCTCTGTAATTAATGTTAAAGAGTTCGGTCTAGACCTGCTCTATTTGAAAAGTGTCCTGAGATAACTTCTGTTATGAATTGGCACTATACAAATAAAATTGAATTGAATTGAAATTAAAGGGGGAAAACGTTACCGAAATTGAATGACAAAGGTGCGGATGAAAAGAAGCCCAAATCTCTCACTGAAGATGAAGTCGCACTGTAAGCGGGAAACAGTGGTGAGAAACATGAAGCATTAAAGTCACAGGGCTTTTTAAGTAAAATCAAACAGAATTTAAAGTTGAGTCACAACAGCAACAATTGTTAGAATTTACTTAAAATTGTACGTACGATTGCTAAAACTTGTCTTTCAAGATTTCTGTATTCCGCGCTGCTGCGATTGTTGAGTTCTTCTACAAATGGTTCTTGCAAGGTTGCTGTGAGAAGCACAACTGGTGAAGGAGCTGCAGTGATTCCAGTTGTCCTTGGCCTTGTAGTTGTTGTTGATCCTATAGGTGTAGATCAGTGAATGAGGAGTCAAGGTAAACATTATTTGGCACATTGCCAAGCACTGATACTTTGTGGTGGATATTTAGGTACACGTGGTAAATGTTTACTTACGAATGACTTCGATGGAGGCTGGATCGATACTGAGGTTGAAGGTGTTGCTTGCGTTATTCACAGCAACTCTCAAGGTTTCTGCAACAACATCGGCCTGTGGGATTCGATCGGGTGATGCCGTGTTGTTGAACTCGAGCCCCACCTCTGCTTGGATGTTTCCCATTTGTGGCCTATCATCACAAAAGCACATTTCTTTAATCAACCGGTTTTATTTTAAAATATCACGTTTGCTAAACTTTGACTTTACATTTTTTTTCTAACAATTCACTCAAATTCTTTATTACACATGACCAATTCCCACAAGATCCTTCTCTAGTTATGAGTTGATTAACTTTAGGTCAGAGACTTAAAGGGGGAAAACGTTACCGAAATTGAATGACAAAGGTGCGGATGAAAAGAAGCCCGAATCTCTCACTGAAGATGAAGTCGCACTGTAAGCGGGAAACAGTGGTGAGAAACATGAAGCATTAAAGTCACAGGGCTTTTTAAGTAAAATCAAACAGAATTTAAAGTTGAGTCACAACAGCAACAATTGTTAGAATTTACTTAAAATTGTACGTACGATTGCTACAACTTGTCTTTCAAGATTTCTGTATTCCGCGCTGCTGCGATTGTTGAGTTCTTCTACAAATGGTTCTTGCAAGGTTGCTGTGAGAAGCACAACTGGTGAAGGAGCTGCAGTGATTCCAGTTGTCCTTGGCCTTGTAGTTGTTGTTGATCCTATAGGTGTAGATCAGTGAATGAGGAGTCAAGGTAAACATTATTTGGCACATTGCCAAGCACTGATACTTTGTGGTGGATATTTAGGTACACGTGGTAAATGTTTACTTACGAATGACTTCGATGGAGGCTGGATCGATACTGAGGTTGAAGGTGTTGCTTGCGTTATTCACAGCAACTCTCAAGGTTTCTGCAACAACATCGGCCTGTGGGATTCGATCGGGTGATGCCGTGTTGTTGAACTCGAGCCCCACCTCTGCTTGGATGTTTCCCATTTGTGGCCTATCATCACAAAAGCACATTTCTTTAATCAACCGGTTTTATTTTAAAATATCACGTTTGCTAAACTTTGACTTTACATTTTTTTCTAACAATTCACTCAAATTCTTTATTACACATGACCAATTCCCACAAGATCCTTCTCTAGTTATGAGTTGATTAACTTTAGGTCAGAGACTTAAAGGGGGAAAACGTTACCGAAATTGAATGACAAAGGTGCGGATGAAAAGAAGCCCGAATCTCTCACTGAAGATGAAGTCGCACTGTAAGCGGGAAACAGTGGTGAGAAACATGAAGCATCAAAGTCACAGGGCTTTTTAAGTGAAATCAAACAGAATTTAAAGTTGAGTCACAACAGCAACAATTGTTAGAATTTACTTAAAATTGTACGTACGATTGCTACAACTTGTCTTTCAAGATTTCTGTATTCCGCGCTGCTGCTATTGTTGAATTCTTCTGCAAATGGTTCTTGCAGGGTTGCTGTGAGAAGCACAACTGGTGAAGGAGCTGCAGTGATTCCAGTTGTCCTTGGCCTTGTAGTTGTTGTTGATCCTATAGGTGTAGATCAGTGAATGAGGAGTCAAGGTAAACATTATTTGGCACATTGCCAAGCACTGATACTTTGTGGTGGATATTTAGGTACACGTGGTAAATGTTTACTTACGAATGACTTCGATGGAGGCTGGATCGATACTGAGGTTGAAGGTGTTGCTTGCGTTATTCACAGCAACTCTCAAGGTTTCTGCAACAACATCGGCCTGTGGGATTCGATCGGGTGATGCCGTGTTGTTGAACTCGAGCCCCACCTCTGCTTGGATGTTTCCCATTTGTGGCCTATCATCACAAAAGCACATTTCTTTAATCAACCGGTTTTATTTTAAAATATCACGTTTGCTAAACTTTGACTTTACATTTTTTTTCTAACAATTCACTCAAATTCTTTATTACACATGACCAATTCCCACAAGATCCTTCTCTAGTTATGAGTTGATTAACTTTAGGTCAGAGACTTAAAGGGGGAAAACGTTACCGAAATTGAATGACAAAGGTGCGGATGAAAAGAAGCCCGAATCTCTCACTGAAGATGAAGTCGCACTGTAAGCGGGAAACAGTGGTGAGAAACATGAAGCATTAAAGTCACAGGGCTTTTTAAGTAAAATCAAACAGAATTTAAAGTTGAGTCACAACAGCAACAATTGTTAGAATTTACTTAAAATTGTACGTACGATTGCTACAACTTGTCTTTCAAGATTTCTGTATTCCGCGCTGCTGCGATTGTTGAGTTCTTCTACAAATGGTTCTTGCAAGGTTGCTGTGAGAAGCACAACTGGTGAAGGAGCTGCAGTGATTCCAGTTGTCCTTGGCCTTGTAGTTGTTGTTGATCCTATAGGTGTAGATCAGTGAATGAGGAGTCAAGGTAAACATTATTTGGCACATTGCCAAGCACTGATACTTTGTGGTGGATATTTAGGTACACGTGGTAAATGTTTACTTACGAATGACTTCGATGGAGGCTGGATCGATACTGAGGTTGAAGGTGTTGCTTGCGTTATTCACAGCAACTCTCAAGGTTTCTGCAACAACATCGGCCTGTGGGATTCGATCGGGTGATGCCGTGTTGTTGAACTCGAGCCCCACCTCTGCTTGGATGTTTCCCATTTGTGGCCTATCATCACAAAAGCACATTTCTTTAATCAACCGGTTTTATTTTAAAATATCACGTTTGCTAAACTTTGACTTTACATTTTTTTTCTAACAATTCACTCAAATTCTTTATTACACATGACCAATTCCCACAAGATCCTTCTCTAGCTATGAGTTGATTAACTTTAGGTCAGAGACTTAAAGGGGGAAAACGTTACCGAAATTGAATGACAAAGGTGCGGATGAAAAGAAGCCCGAATCTCTCACTGAAGATGAAGTCGCACTGTAAGCGGGAAACAGTGGTGAGAAACATGAAGCATCAAAGTCACAGGGCTTTTTAAGTGAAATCAAACAGAATTTAAAGTTGAGTCACAACAGCAACAATTGTTAGAATTTACTTAAAATTGTACGTACGATTGCTACAACTTGTCTTTCAAGATTTCTGTATTCCGCGCTGCTGCTATTGTTGAATTCTTCTGCAAATGGTTCTTGCAGGGTTGCTGTGAGAAGCACAACTGGTGAAGGAGCTGCAGTGATTCCAGTTGTCCTTGGCCTTGTAGTTGTTGTTGATCCTATAGGTGTAGATCAGTGAATGAGGAGTCAAGGTAAACATTATTTGGCACATTGCCAAGCACTGATACTTTGTGGTGGATATTTAGGTACACGTGGTAAATGTTTACTTACGAATGACTTCGATGGAGGCTGGATCGATACTGAGGTTGAAGGTGTTGCTTGCGTTATTCACAGCAACTCTCAAGGTTTCTGCAACAACATCGGCCTGTGGGATTCGATCGGGTGATGCCGTGTTGTTGAACTCGAGCCCCACCTCTGCTTGGATGTTTCCCATTTGTGGCCTATCATCACAAAAGCACATTTCTTTAATCAACCGGTTTTATTTTAAAATATCACGTTTGCTAAACTTTGACTTTACATTTTTTTTCTAACAATTCACTCAAATTCTTTATTACACATGACCAATTCCCACAAGATCCTTCTCTAGTTATGAGTTGATTAACTTTAGGTCAGAGTCTTAAAGGGGGAAAACGTTACCGAAATTGAATGACAAAGGTGCGGATGAAAAGAAGCCTGAATCTCTCACTGAAGATGAAGTCGCACTGTAAGCGGGAAACAGTGGTGAGAAACATGAAGCATCAAAGTCACAGGGCTTTTTAAGTGAAATCAAACAGAATTTAAAGTTGAGTCACAACAGCAACAATTGTTAGAATTTACTTAAAATTGTACGTACGATTGCTACAACTTGTCTTTCAAGATTTCTGTATTCCGCGCTGCTGCGATTGTTGAGTTCTTCTACAAATGGTTCTTGCAAGGTTGCTGTGAGAAGCACAACTGGTGAAGGAGCTGCAGTGATTCCAGTTGTCCTTGGCCTTGTAGTTGTTGTTGATCCTATAGGTGTAGATCAGTGAATGAGGAGTCAAGGTAAACATTATTTGGCACATTGCCAAGCACTGATACTTTGTGGTGGATATTTAGGTACACGTGGTAAATGTTTACTTACGAATGACTTCGATGGAGGCTGGATCGATACTGAGGTTGAAGGTGTTGCTTGCGTTATTCACAGCAACTCTCAAGGTTTCTGCAACAACATCGGCCTGTGGGATTCGATCGGGTGATGCCGTGTTGTTGAACTCGAGCCCCACCTCTGCTTGGATGTTTCCCATTTGTGGCCTATCATCACAAAAGCACATTTCTTTAATCAACCGGTTTTATTTTAAAATATCACGTTTGCTAAACTTTGACTTTACATTTTTTTTCTAACAATTCACTCAAATTCTTTATTACACATGACCAATTCCCACAAGATCCTTCTCTAGTTATGAGTTGATTAACTTTAGGTCAGAGACTTAAAGGGGGAAAACGTTACCGAAATTGAATGACAAAGGTGCGGATGAAAAGAAGCCTGAATCTCTCACTGAAGATGAAGTCGCACTGTAAGCGGGAAACAGTGGTGAGAAACATGAAGCATTAAAGTCACAGGGCTTTTTAAGTGAAATCAAACAGAATTTAAAGTTGAGTCACAACAGCAACAATTGTTAGAATTTACTTAAAATTGTACGTACGATTGCTACAACTTGTCTTTCAAGATTTCTGTATTCCGCGCTGCTGCTATTGTTGAGTTCTTCCACAAATGGTTCTTGCAGGGTTGCTGTGAGAAGCACAACTGGTGAAGGAGCTGCAGTGATTCCAGTTGTCCTTGGCCTTGTAGTTGTTGTTGATCCTATAGGTGAAGATCAGTGAATGAGGAGTCAAGGTAAACATTATTTGGCACATTGCCAAGCACTGATACTTTGTGGTGGCTATTTAGGTACACGTGGTAAATGTTTACTTACGAATGACTTCGATGGAGGCTGGATCGATAGTGAGGTTGAAGGTGTTGCTTGTGTTATTCACAGCAACTCTCAAGGTTTCTGCAGCAACATCGGCCTGTGGGATTTGATCGGGTGATGCCGTGTTGTTGAACTCGAGCCCCACCTCTGCTTGGATGTTTCCCATTTGTGGCCTTGCATCAGAAAAGTACATTTCTTTAATCAACCGGTTTTATTTTAAAATATCACGTATGCTAAACTTTGACTTTACATTTTTTTTCTAAAAATTCACTCAAATTCTTTATTACACATGACCAATTCCCACAAGATCCTTCTCTAGCTATAAGTTGATTAACTTTAGGTCAGAGACTTAAAGGGGGAAAACATTACCGAAATTGAATGACAAAGGTGCGGATGAAAAGAAGCCCGAATCTCTCATTGAAGATGAAGTCGCACTGTAAGCGGGAAACAGTGGTGAGAAACATGAAGCATTAAAGTCACAGGGCTTTTTAAGTGAAATCAAACAGAATTTAAAGTTGAGTCACAACAGCAACAATTGTTAGAATTTACTTAAAATTGTACGTACGATTGCTACAACTTGTCTTTCAAGATTTCTGTATTCCGTGCTGCTGCGATTGTTGAGTTCTTCCACAAATGGTTCTTGCAAGGTTGCTGTGAGAAGCACAACTGGTGAAGGAGCTGCAGTGATTCCAGTTGTCCTTGGCCTTGTAGTTGTTGTTGACCCACCAGTTGTGGTTGATCCTGTTGTTAAAATATTAATAATCATTATGACAGAATGTAAATATTAGTTGTTACATTAATCTGCAAATGTTTTTTAAATAACACCTTAAGTTTTATTTTTTCATTACTATAATTACTAACTTACCCATACATATCATCAAAATTGATAAGATGGGTCCAACACCCATCTTTTCTGGTCTTGAATCTGTGAAATCAGTCAGCACAGAGAGTTAATTACTACACCTGCCTACTAACAGCTTATATGTTAATTATATATTTGCATATTTTTTTATGTAGTATGTATTTATATAACAATAAATTATAATACATTATTAACATGGTGAGAATATTATTTTTCTTTTCATAATGAGCCAAAAACAAGAATAGATCTACCTGTGTTAAACAAAAATTTGTGGAAGCTGATATGCTACCCTTTAATTGGTTGAGGAAAAAAAAGGTTAAAATACTGACATGTTTAATCTCTGAGGAAAAAGGTAATAAAAAATGAATCTGGTACAATATAAATATTCATACAAGGAATCAGAGATTTGTATTGCTGACAATGTGTAACTGATGCTGTCTAGATGGGTGTATGCATATTTCCCCAACAACACAGGAAGTCATATGTATGACTTTTACAATAAAGTTTCTTTATTGTTTTTTTATGTAGTTATCATGCATCTTGTTTTCTGTTATTGTGGGTAATGGTGTGAGTTATTATGTTACCTTTGTTAAATGTATGACGATAAAGTTATACATAAGATAAGATAAGTTTTTTGTATCTAAAGTCACACGATTGTTACCCAGAAGTTTTGAGGAAGCACAGAGAGGTAAGAGAATGGCAGGTGAAAACAGTTAACCTTTATGTTCTCATCTGTTACGCTACAGCTGGTCTACCAGGTGAACACTGTAATAATTATCAAGGTACCTTACTAAGGATTGTTATACTTTGTTACAAGTAAATGTGAGACACAGTACACAGGCCCCTCCCTCCTCCCCTAGTCGCCACACTGAAATTATGCTGCCTGCCCTTGAAGACAGCTTCTTCGTGGAGTTTTTTCTCCAGATTGGACAAAGTTGGAACGGGATACCAGAATTTGTTCCAGAGATCAGGAACAACCCCAAACTCTAAAGAGAGCTGGAATAGTCTTTGAAATACTTCAGTGATGTATGTCCTTCCACATATTCCATAGGGCGACCAAGCCCAAGTTGTTGATCCTTTTCAAATGTTTGGCAACAGACTGGGTGGAGACTTGCTGGATTCACAGGTGAGAGTTTTGGATAGAAGTTTGGCAAAATCCTGAGTGTCAAAATGATTGAATAACTTACTTCATTAATGTGGTCTCATCTGTGGCATGAACAGACTTTGGTCCTACACTGATGTTTGTTCCTGAAATAGTTTTGATTCTTCTCCAGGCTGAACATTTGTCCCCATGTTAAAAGTATCGATAGTTCGCCTGTCTCACTGCTCGCTTGACCTCTTTATTAAATTTCTCTCCCTTTTTTTGGCCCGCAGAAAATACCCATTTGTTTTTATTTTAGATTCTTTTAACTCCTTTGTTACCCATGGTTTATTATTAAAGACTTTCTGCTTAATATCTGAGCTTGGATCAACAAGACCATCCCATTATGTACATTTAACACAGCCTCTAAGGCTGTACTGTATTCTCTGACAAGGACTTACATATTCTAGTAAAAGATTTCTCTCTTTGAATAATTGGTTGGTATGCAGAACCAAGAAAAACGGACCAAGACCCAGCAGCTGGAACGATCTGTATGCTCTGGAAACAGTTGTCCAGTACCTGACTGTATTGAGTAGAGCAGTCAATGTACTGCTGATATGCAGGTAAAACACGATCAAGCGGAAGTTGTCTTGTAGAAACTTAGGTACAGCTCAAATCAACATCAATACTATAAAAAATTTAATGTCAGTAAATGAATCCTTTGTAGCCTGAGCCTGACATAAACCAGAATTTTCTGTTCATTACAAGCTAAAGTAAACTATGTTGTGCAAAAAATATAGTACATATGATTAGTAAAACAAATAAATAACACATTTATTTGCATCACATGCATTGTTAATAAAATATTACATTTATATAAAATAGAGACTCAAAGTTCTAAAAGAAACTCATCACTAGGCATGTCACGATACCAGAAACTCTTTCTGTTTGTGTCTCTGTTGTCCTTATTCAGCAGTAAGTTCACTGTCCAAAAAACACAACTCACATTTAAGATTTTTTCACCCGCAATTCCATTTTAACAACAGCAGGTGAGGTGGTGGCAGGTTTGGATGAGGCTCGTAGTTATTGACGTAGCCTATCAAAATGATTGAAAACAAAGTGGTCCATAGGCACCAGCTGATGTTTTCACTGCTGTTCACTTTTGCTGCGCCTGGTTCGCCCTGGTAAATAAACACTATATCTATATATACTCATGTGCGAACATGTGCGATAGTCTGTAGAGGAGGTGCACCATTAGGTCAGGACGAATTGATATCCCGGTACCCATGGTACTTACTGTCCTGTAGAATAACGAGTACTGTCACGTTTTCAAAACACAGGCATCGACTTGGTACAGAAATCAGTTCTGGTGACATCTCTACTCATTACACTGACTGACTCACATCAATTGTCAAATGCCTATGCAATTTTGCATGTGTGAATCATTCATCAAAGTCTGTACAGATGTCTCCAATTCCACTGCATTGAAAAACCGAGAATAAGGTTTATTATTGGTAGCCTTGTTCTATGGTGTTCATTTTCCCATCGTAAAAGTGGGTGAAGACAGGAGCAAACATTCAGTACAGTGAGAATTAGTTTGTAGACAGCCATTGTCTTCAGTCTTCAGCAAAACTACCCAGGTCAAAGTCTTTATGTGATGGTGCACTCTCGCAATATCACTTAAAGAAGATGCAAACATTTTAACTAATAGATATTACTATAAAACTTCCCCAGGTGATTACTTGTATTACAAGTTTTCTGAAACTTTATGGTTAAATATGCAAATGAGGCATTATCTAATGCTAACTTTTTGTCAATTTAGGATAAGTATACTGACGTAAGTTGTATATGTAAGTGTAGTAAAGTAAACCTAAAGAGACTGAAAGATGTACTTACCAATCTCCAATTAGAAAAAGAAATAGATACTACTTAGAAGAAATATTTATAGTCCCTTCTTCTCAAGTGTGGATTTCATGTACAATCTACAATATCGTTATTTATTTAATCCATTTCACATATGTGACGCCGCAAACACAACCTGTCTGTAAGAGTAGTTGTCTATTAAAGCCTTTATATAGCACTTATAATAAAGGCATTACATGACCGGAGCTACAATCTTATTTGTCACTTTCTTGGCTTAGTCTCATGGTGTACTCCCTTCTCTTTGTCATGTCATAAGAAAATGTCATTCTGTCGCATTTCCCCTCCCCAAGGTATAAAAGGAATAATTTGTTTTGGCACTGCATTTCTAGAATGAACAGGCGACAACCTGTTTTAACAAAACAATAAGCTTATCACAACAATAAGCACATACTTAACTGCATGGCATACTTTAAGAATACATTTATAAGGAAATAAGTAGTGCTGTCAAATGATTAAAATATTTAATCGCGATTAATCGCATTAATGTCATAGTTAACTCGCATTAATCGCAATTAATCGCACATTTTTATCTATTCTAAATTTCCCTTGATTTCTTTTTGTCCCATTATTTTTTTCTCATTTTAATGCTCTTATCAGCATGGAAAAGTGGATCAGCTTGCTTTGTGAAAACGTTGTTTTTATTGAAAAATCATCCATTGTCGCCTGGCTTTGACGAGGGGGCGGAGAATTTGCATCAGCTGTGTGCTTGGCCATCAAATGGTATTTCAGACTGGATGTGCTGCGATGATAGCTCAGTTCACAATGACAAAACACACAGATCACATTGGTCTTGTCAATGGAACCATTTGGCAACTTTTTAAAAGTAAACTTTCCATTCAGATTCCCTGTGATTTGTACTACACCTTGTACCTCAATGTCCTGGGAGTTGGTATGCCTTGTGATAACCGTAGATCCGCATTGATTACAAATAAACCTTTGCTATTACTGCCCAGTGCTAGTACAAATTTACTGTTGTCCCATTTAGCAGGATATAACCTGAACCTTTTCAACTGTTTACTTTTTTCATACTATAATTGATCATACTATATAAAATGTCTGTTAGTCTAGGTGAAATGAAAAATGGCATTTTAACTCTTTAAGACTGCATATTATATTGATATGTCATCACACAGATTAAGCAAACATGTTAAATTGAAATACTGGCTTCTCCAACAACAATGTAACAGTCTGTATATTCTCATTTAAAATTTACATTCTGATGCTGAATGTGTGTTTATATTTTGGTCTGTGTTCATTGCCCGTTTGGACACTTGGTTTGCCAGATATAGAACTAATTCCTGCGGGAACACAGCTAGCTGCACACATTGCAGCAGTCAGTGTATCAACAGAGATAATGTTGGACTCTGCCCAACCTAAAAAGGCTCTGCATCTGTCTAAAAAGCTCCACGACCAGAGACGTTTTAAAACAGGATTTCAAGACTGTTGTCGAAATGGCTAATTTTGTCCTAAGCAGGTAATCAATGAGTTTCAGCTAAATTAAACAACCAAACAAACTGAAGGAAACTTGTTGGTATTGCTGTACCAGAAAACAGACACGTACATGAATGAAACCAAGCGAGGATACAGTTAGGAGAGTATTACAGTTTGGTCCATGAACTCCGCCTGGATAGCTCCCAGTTTCACTCATATTTCCTGCTGACTGTGGAGCAGTTTGACCGCTATCGGGCACACAGAGGAGCGTATGGGACGGACCGTGGTTGTTTATTACCTCAACAACAACCAGCATGACAGAAATAAACAACAGAAACACATTTTCCTTTAAATTGACTATATTGGCAAATGTGAGTTATCAATATCATCAAGTTGAACGAAAGCCGACAGCCTTTTGTCCAACTGTACTTGAGTGTCATGAACCTGCTCTAGGATTCTGACAAAGGAGGGAGACCACACAGAGAATTTAAAGGTTTTAGACAAAAAGTCAGTGTGGTCAGTAGTGTAGTGAGTGTGTGTGTGGAAAAAGGTAATGCATCTATCTATCTGTAAAGCAAGAAATCTCTGTGTGTGTGTGTGTGTGTGTGTGTGTGTGTGTGTGTCTGTGTGTGTGACTCCTGATCTCTGCAGATCAGGATCAGACTGACCTGAGAGTTTCAACATTGCTGCTGTGTGGTTTAAGGGTGTGCATCGTCGGCTTTGTTTGGTCTATAAATATACCGTTAATAAATTATTTCGTAAATGATTTCTGAATTCCTCTAGCATTACTAACGATAGGCACCGTAGCCACGTGCGCACCAGAGCCAATCACTGCAGAGCCCGTGTTGAAGGTGTTTCCCAGTTGTCTCCCCCCCTGTCAATCTAAACCCGCGGACACTTTATAATCATATGGATGCTGTTATAATGTGCAGTGATTGAGACCCTGACCCACCAAACATCCTGGAAAGTGACGAAGTTACGTTTTTCACTCTAAATTACACAATTATTACATAATAATCACCAGCAGTAAACTGACTCCCTCACTCGCAAGACGGAGAATGTTTTAACACTCCGCAAGTTTTTCGCCGGTGACAGACGCTGTTTTTCGGGCAGAAATGTGACGAAGAGTCGGTAGGACAGGCGGGAGGACAGACAGGAGGACAGACGCTTCTCCACGTACAGCTGTGGTATTTTTTTTCCTCATATAAGTTTCCAAAGACAGTTACAGTTACTACGTTACTGTTGTTTGGTCCTGTAACGTTGCTTTGTGGGACATTTCTCTTTATTAAGTTGAGTGAGAGACCTGTGCAGTTATCAGACTGTCTGACCGACACACCCTCACTCCGCGCCGTCGGCTTATCCGTTCACACTGTAGGCGGTTCAAAAATAATGCGTCCCTGATACACCCTCCAGAGCAGGATCAGGGACGGAGCGTCATTTCCCCCCTCGCCACATCTGAAACGTTCACACAGAGGAGGGTGCGGAGAATTGGCGCTGGATCCCCAAACGTCTCTCTCTCTCTCTCTCTCTCTGATGTATGCTGGCCTATATTACAGGGCTAAATAATATGTCCTAAATGTCCCTGACGTCCCACCTTCAAACGCAACCTCATTTGGCCATCCATGAAAAAGCTACTTAACCTCAAACTTTTCTATAGCAATACATACTTCCTACGGGCACTGCACTAGTATATCCAAATACCAAAGACTAATAGATCCTCCTACATGTTACACACCGGACTTTTAATACACAGATAGAAAGAGTCATATCTTTTATATATCACACTTTGCTAAAGACCTAATCTACAACACACTAACCACAGTTTATGTCTAATTATTCTCAACCGTGCCAGCATTGCAGACAGACAGCGGCATTTTCCACTGGAGTAAGACCCTCAAACCTGTGCCCACAGTCATTTGGAATCCTTATGTTCTTTAATAGGATATTTGTTCATATCTGTATTCTATACATACTTTTCTGCATTGCTTGAGTTATATTGCAATATCATTATGGTGACAATGGCTTGAATCTTGATACTAGTATTATCAACTCACTACTGAAATATTTAATTAAGTTTTTATTGTTGTTGTATTGTTATTCTTACTGATCTCAGTATTGCTAGTAGTTAGTTTAGTCATACACTATGTACAGCAGTTAATTCTAATAAATGTATCACATCTGTAGTTAACTACTGTAACTTGTGTTTGTCACAATCACAATCAGCTCAGTTTCCCGGCAGAGACAGCAAATGGGTATGCTATAGCTGCTTGACTTGGGGGACATAACACGCAGCACTATTGGCCAGCAGGACAAGTCCCTCTGTAGCTGACACCATTATTTAAACTCACCTGAAGAACCAACCTCCAGAGACTTTTTATCATTATAATTTATCATTTGACGCTGGAAATAAGACAGTGACGTGAAATACACAAATAAGAAAAGTGAGTGGATAACTACACGGGATAAAGCACTAACTTTTTACGAATGCTATGACATTAATTTGAGTGGATTAGTTTTGGTGTAGGGAACACACTCCTTTCAGTTTTTTTACTGTCAGCTTTATGAACGCATCAGCTGTTAAAGGAGAAAAAGAAAAAATAGTGGGAACAATATGCACATTTCAAAAGACAAATAGTAAGCAAAAGTTACAATTATAGCAAAGGCTACTCGGTTAGTGAAGTGTATATACATAAACAAGTTGTGTTCTCCAGTGTTCAGTTATGATTACTCTCATTATTAAGCCATTCATTACAGTAATAACTCCTATATTTATTGAAGCTTAAAGTGCATCATAAATGGACTCCTGGTCCATTCAGCAGAGGAAAAGAATCATGCGCTTGTCACAATTTTGATTCCAGTATCTGGAAGTTTTTCCCAAGCTACTTAACATTTCAGCTGTCACAAATCATCTAGGGATCACCTCTGTAGCTCACCAGGTAGAGCATATACCACACACAGTTTCAAGGCTGAGTCCTTGTTGCAACAGCCTAGGTTTGGGCCCTGTGGCTGCATGTCATCCACTCTCTCTTCTCGCCTTTCCTGTCACTATCCAAAGCGAAATTCCAAAATTAAAAAAGAAAAAGAAAAAACCTAATAGGATTTCACAGGGACATCAGCACAACCAATGTTGCTGGCTAGACAGTAGACATGACAGCAGCATGAGGCAGGATGCAGTTATGAGACTGATCTTGTAGCTTGAAGCTGTAAATGACATTTTAACATTCAACATATACATATATATCTTTCCAAAGTTTTGATGAGCAAACACTCAATTTGCCTTTCATGCAGCATTTCAAGTAAAGGAGTTAGTGTCAGTGTTAAAGGCTGCAATGTTTGGGGCTGCATTGATCAAAATGTATTATTTTCCACTAGGTCTCTGTCATCAAATCTTTTAAATTAGCAACCAAGATATACAGAAACCTGTTAAATTTTATTGCAGATAACGAATCTGAATGACTACGGCAACGAATGTTGTGGATGCTACAGTGCTTGTGGGTGTAGCAGTTGTTACTGCAACAGTTGTAGGTCCAACAGTTGTCGTCCCAGCAGATGTTATTGTGCCACTAACTGTTGGTGTCCCAACTGTTCTTCTTCTGTGGTAGCAGGTGTTGTTGTCCCAGCAGTTGTCATTGTCTCAGCAGATGTTGTCAACCCAGCAGTTGTAGTAGCAGTGGCTGTTGTCATTGATGGTCCAACACTTGTCATTGTTCTCATGGTTATAGTAGTGCCATGACCTTGTGCAGCTTCTGGTACGGTTGTTAAATTCTAAGGCAACTATTGGCAAGGATGTTGAAGTAAGTTAAAAATCTAAACATTGCTTTATTGGAGCCTTTTTCATATACTCTTTTACTCTTCTAATTGCATATATCTGTCAAAATCATGTGTCAAACATAGCTCAATTTAAACTTTCAAACAGCATTTCTACATTCGTGCACAAGGTTTAGGTAACCACAGAAACAAAACTTCACAGCAAATTACCATGCATTATCAGTTAACAATTACACAGTTATACCCATTAGAATCAGCAAAATTGGTATTATCCTCCCAATACCCACCCTTTTCTTGCTTTGAATCTATAAAATCACTATCACTATTACAAAAGACTGATCTCATTGTGGGAGTACTTAGAGCCTATAAAACTCAAGGTGCATTTTCAAAGTTCGAAGTTCTTCCTGTCTAAAGTCTTGATTACACTCCTGTTAACACCGGAAAGTTAATATCCATGTGAACCCCACAAGAAATTTTAAGTGGGAATAAATGGGAGTGAATCTAACTCTTTGCTTTTCTTTTTTCTTTTGTCGCTGACTGATATAATCTAAATACAATATTTATAATCGAAATACAATATTTATAATCAGAACAAAATTTAAAATTGAGAAAATATGAATGTCCTGAAGATTTCAATTAAAAGAATCTCCTCTTCATGACAGGATGATGAAGAACAATTAATTAGGCTTGCATAATATGCAACAAAGAAGCATTTTAGCATGAGCGTGTACTAAATAAAAGCACTCAATCATTCCAACTTCTGACAAGCCTCCACCCTGCTGAAATGTCCTTGAGCCAGGCATTGATGCCCTGTTAAATACAGGCATGTTGTACACCCTGATCGCCGACCTCACTATGGAGAAAGATAAAATCATATCTTTATATTAACTAATATGGTATCATATCAAAGTGTTCTTTGTTTGTTTGCTTTTTCAAAGGTAATATTTTTTAACAGTTTCATATCTGTGACATTTCAAATCTTTCAGCTTTTGTGACAATCCACACCTATTACATCCATCCTATGTCTTCCAAATATTATTGTCACTGTAGTTAATCTACGGAACAAGCTGACAACAGAAAAAAACTTCCAAATAAAATAGTCTCATTGGAAACTGTTCCGCGTGACTTATGGCCATTGGGAAACAATGTGCTGCTGTTTTTTTCCCCGAACCAACCTGAACTACTGACCATACTGGGCTGATCATGAAAGTAAACTTTAGGAAATAATGAGACAGGATTTGATTGTCTGTACGTATATTCAGTGCCTTTAATGGAAGGATCTTCAATATAATGTGATTTATTTTGGTATCTGCTTTACATGGTAAGAACTTAGTATAAAGAGATTTTTTTTCATTTTTTCTTTTTGTATCCTGATCATCATAAAGAACTATATTATTTTTATTTTTTATTCAAATTATACAACAATACAGGTAATCTCAGAGAATACACATATGTATGATAACATAAATACATATAAATAAGACAAGTGACCAGATAATCATATAGGGCATTGTTAAGACATTGTATATTTCATGAATGCTACAACAATCAACATAATTATGACTGGGTCACGGCTGGAGGGGCTAGAGTACAGTATTGGCTAAATGTTTTTCTTCACTGAAAGTCAGAATTATTTTTGCTGTCAACTTTAATAACTGAGCAGCTCTTATATAGAGTAAAACTTAATTTAATGTAAGTAATCTTGGGTTATATCGGTTTCAAAGAGTTGAACCAGGATTAAAACATTCAAGGACTGAGGTGAATAAAATCAGACAATTAAAATAATACAGAAATAAAATTGAATAAACCCCCATCAATAAAGATAATTATTAATAGTAAAACAGATAATACATGTTGCTAATAAGGCATTGTGCTAGAATTAATAAAAGGATATTTTTGTTTTTAGAAGGGATCTTAAAGATGTCAGTGACTCAGCAAGCCTCAGATCCTCGGGGAGCAGGTTCCAGAGCTTAAGGGCCTTGACTGCAAAAGCCTGGTCACCTTTAGTCTTCAGGAACAGCTAGCAGAGCCCTGCCTGAGGACCTGAGACTGCGACCTGGCTCAAAGAGAGCAGCAATTCGTGCTTTAAAGGTGATCAGCCAAATTCTCAAACTAACTGCTAACCAGTGAAGAGAGGCTATCTCGTCTTCTGGTATTCGTTAAAAGCCCAGCAGCTGCATTCTGTACCAGCTGAATGTGTGAGCTCAACCCTGAATATGACGAACTATAGTAATCTAACCAAGATTAAACAAAAACACGGATGACCTTCTTGAGATTAGGCCAAGAGAGAAAATACCAGATTTTTAAGATGAATTGATAAAAACATGAACAATGTTGAAGGTTTGAATAAAATGTGCCATTGCAGTCAAACTTTGTTATCAATGTGTGTGGTCATCCCGACTTCGAATTAAATGCCTGGAAGTTCTTTCCAAGCCATATACTCAGGGGTCTTCTTGGATTTTTAATAAGATCAATGTCCTTTTTTAGACCAGTGATAGCAGTCAGTTTATAATGGGGTTTCACATGGATATCAGCACTGTCACTATTGCTGGCTTGAAAGTAGCCATGACAACAGCACAAGGAAGGATGCAGTGATGAGACTGATCTTGTGGCTCACTCCACTTGAAACTTCTGTAAATGTTGAGAAAAAGAAACAAGAAATTGTTTTAACAAACAGTTCTGTAATCTTGTGAATTTTTCAGCAGTTGAAGAAATATGTAAAAAAAAAAAAGACATTGTAGCCAGAGGGCAGATAAAATTCTGGAAATATATCAAATAGATTAAATAGTACGAATCCAGTAATTACTTCCTTTTGTTGATTGAGACAACAGAATTGTTTACTGACCAACACTAAAAATAAGCACACACACTGGTGTCACAGACAGTGATGGATACATGACTTGCTTACTTTAACAAACATTTCTGTAATCTTGTAAATTTTTGATGAGGTAGCTCTCAGTATTGCTTACGTATGCCATTCACAGAAATGAAAGTGGTGTCAATGTTGAGGGCTGCGCTGACCAAAGTATTTCCAATCTGAGTGTCATTAGGTACAGATGTAGATGCAAATCGAAGGTCCATGGTGTTGATGATTGATCCCTTTCTGCAAAATGATTTATCAAAATATATGGTTTCATTCAGATGAATTCATTAACCATTCTCCTTAAGATTCTATCAAACTAAAGCATCAACAAAATTATTACCTGAAAGAAATCACTGTCAAGGAGCGGAATGAAGGAAATGCGTTTCGGTAGAAAGGTTCAAGCTGCAGAAATGAAAGCAAACCAACTGTAAGTACAGGAATTAAATATCATCTAATAAAGAACAGGATTTCTATTTTCCACCCATTCTGAAATAAGGAACAATCTAGTGCCCATTACAAAGTATTAGAGGCACCAGCTCTTAAACAAATCGAATTAGAAATGTGGGGGTAAGGGATGTTCTTTAATTTACTTGATACAATCTAACTGTACAATTTGATGGGAAATTTACGATATGCAGATTTTAGGCAAATATGAAACAGGATAAATGTGTTGGCAAATATGAAAGATGAATGTGTGAATGATAAGAATAGATACATATATATATATTTATGTATCTATTAATAAATATACATTTCAGATATATTTATAATACTGTGACATAATAAACATCTTGTAAAACATTGCCAATTGATTAGGATGCATACAGTGTGCTAGGTTTCACTTTAAGAGACACTTACTGTTGACTTTATCAGTGTGGCTCGACTTATAAATGCTGCAGATGATGGATTCAGCAAGTCACTTATAAATGTCTGTCCAGCAGATCTAAAAGTCAGCCGCCTGATTGTGACTGCCTCAGCAGTTGTCGCTACAGATGTAGTGGTTGAAGGAGTTGTTGTGGTTGTAGTTGCGACCATTGTTGTTGTAGTTGTAGCAGCAATAATTGGAGTTGCAGCACTGGTCACTGTATTTGTTGTAGCTGTAGTATTTAAAGTGGGGGCTGCAGTTGTTTCTATAAAAACATGTAGAACAATGTGAAGAAATATGTTGAAGCTACAGCTGTAGTAGGCAGCAGTTGAACAAATATGTAAAAAAAAAATTTAAAAAAAAGACATTGTAGCCAGAGGGCATCCTTTGGACAAACATATACATTACAATATACTGTACTGTATGTTTATGTTTGGAAAGTTATAGTAAAGGACAGTGAAAGTGGTCTTGCTGATATTTGCCACAGTGGACTTAATTATGATAAATGCTTTTTCTCGATCCAGCAAATTATCAAAAAGGGATCAGAAAAGAAATTGATAACAATTTTTATAGCAAGGTCAGTAATGCTATTGGCAGTGAAAAAGGCCTTTAAACCGTAACCATCACTGTAGTAGGGTGGTTATTTTCAGATAAAATTCTGGAGTATATCAAATGGATTAAATAGTACTAATCCAGTAATTACTTCCTTTTGTTGATTGAGACAACATAATTGTTTACTGACCAACACTAAAAATAAGCACACACACACACACACACACACACACACACACACACACACACACACACACTCTGGTGTCACAGACAGTGATACATGCCTTGCTGCTGGAGTGCAATACAAGTGTACTTTTACTTACGAACTACTTTGATGGAGTCGCTCAGAACAGAGAGGTTGAAGTTGTTGCTGGAGTTAGACACAGCTTCTATTAAGGTGTCTGCCACATCACCCGACTGTGGGATATCAGTAGACGATGCAGTATTGTTGAACTCAACCCCCACCTCTGCTTCAGTATTTTCCATTCGTGTTCTGGTCACAGCTTGTCTGCATCAAAAAAGCACACATCATAATGAAATTATATTAACATTGATAATTTATGTGTAACTATTCCACTTTTTGCCATTCATAACAATCCAGAAAGTAAAGCAAAGTCTCTTTATAAGAATTTAAAATCTTACCTAAAAGCTATGACAAAAGTGCGGATGAAGAGGAGGCCATATCTTTTCTTGTAGATAACATTATACTGTGGGAAGGAAGCAAACAGGAAAATATAAACAAACAAATACATTATTCTCCAAGTGAAATTAAGAACTCAAAACTCTCTTAAAGGTGGGGTCAGTCATTCTGGAGAAAGCCTGACCTTTCCCAGGTCATTCAAATATGTGTTAAATACTGGCACTTAGAGTTCCCAGGTCCTGGAAGCACAAAAACACCTGTTGTATTGTGTGGCTTGCCCCAAGCCACTTTGATTCCCATTAACCATAACCCAAAGTGTTGGTATTTGACAACCTGGGAATGAGGCTCAAATCAACTGGCTTTCTCCAGAATAAGTGACCCCACCTTTAATACACTTAGAAAGATAATAAGCACTTGTACTCACCACTGCGACAACTTTTGCCTCAAGAGTCTTAAATTGTGCACTGTTTGAATCTTTTAATTCTTCTACAAATGGTTCGACTATGATTGCTGCGATAACCACAACTGGCTGGACAGGTGCATTAGTTGTAGTAGTTGTTGTTGCTGTTGTTCCAACAGATGTTGTTGAAGCAGAGGTTGTTGTGGATCCAGTAGTTGTCGTTGAACCTCCAGTTGTAGTTGACCCACTAATTGTTGTTGTTGAACCTCCAGTTGTAGTTGGTGCACCAGTTGTTGAAGCTACAGCTGTAGTAGGCAGCAGTTGAAATATGTTTAAAAAATTTTAAAAAAAGCCATTGTAGCCAGAGGGCATCTATTGGACAAACATATACATTACAATATACTGTACTGTATGTGGTATGTGATAATTATGATGATAGTTGATGTTGACCCACCAGTTGGTGTTGGGGCACCAGTTGTCATAGATCCCCCAGTTGTTGTTGACCCTCCAGTAGCTGACGTACCAGTTGTTGTTGAAGCTCCTGTTGTAGTTGAGGCATCAATTGTTGTTGACCCACCAGTTGTAGTTGATGCACCACTAGTTGTTGAAGCTCCTGTTGTAGTTGACCCACCAGTTGTCGTTGAACCTCTAGTTGTTGTTGACCCACTAATTGTTGTTGTTGAACCTCCAGTTATAGTTGAGGCAACAGTTGTTGTTGATCCCCCAGTTGTAGTTGGTGCACCAGTTGTTGAAGCTACAGCTGTAGCAGGCAGCAGTTGAAGAAATATGTAAAAAAAAAAAAAAAAAAAAAAAAGACGTTGTAGCCAGAGGGCATCCTTTGGACAAACATATACATTACAATATACTGTACTGTATGTTTATGTTTGGAAAGTAATAGTAAAAGACAGTTAAAGTGGTCTTGCTGATATTTGCCACAGTGGACTCTGTGTTAATTATGATAAATGCTTTTTCTCGATCCAGCAAATTATTAAAAAGCATCAGGAAAAAAATTATAATAATTTTATAGCAAGGTCAGTAATGCTACTGGCAGTGAAAAAAAGCCTTTAAACCGTAACCATCATTGTAGTAGGGTGATTATTTTCAGATAAAATTCTGGAGTATATCAAATAGATTAAATAGTACTAATCCAGTAATTACTTCCTTTTGTTGATTGAGACAACAGAATTGTTTACTGACCAACACTAAAAATAAGCACACACACTGGTGTCACAAACAGTGATGGATACATGACTTGCTTGCTTTAACAAACAGTTCTGTAATCTTGTAAATTTTTGATGAGGTAGCTTTCAGTATTGCTTACGTGTGCCATTCACAGAAATGGAAGTGGTGTCAATGTTGAAGGCTGTGATGTTTGAAGCTGCGCTGACCAAAGTATTTCCAATCTGAGTGTCATTAGGTACAGATGCAAATCCTAGGTCCATGGTGTTGATGATTGATCCATTACTGCAAAAGGATTTACCAAAATATATGGTTTCATTCAGATGAATTCATTAACCATTCTCCTTAAGATTCTATCAAACTAAAGCATCAATAAAATTATTACCTGAAAGAAATCACTGTCAAGGAGCGGAATGAAGGAAATGCGTTTCGGTAGAAAGGTTCAAGCTGCAGAAATGAAAGCAAACCAACTGTAAGTACAGGAATTAAATATCATCTAATAAAGAACAGGATTTCTATTTTCCACCCATTCTGAAATGAGGAACAATCTAGTGCCCATTACAAAGTATTAGAGGCACCAGCTCTTAAACAAATTGAATTAGAAATGTGGGGGTAAGGGATGTTCTTTAATTTACTTGATACAATCTAACTGTACAATTTGATGGGAAATTTACGATATGCAGATTTTAGGCAAATATGAAACAGGATAAATGTGTTGGCAAATATGAAAGATGAATGTGTGAATGATAAGAATATATATATTAATGAATATAAATTTAAGATATATTTATAATACTGTGACATAATAAACATCTTGTAAAACATTGCCAATTGATTAGGATGCATACAGTGTGCTAAGTTTCACTCTAAGAGACACTTACTGTTGATTTTATCATTGTGGCTCGACTTGTAAATGCTGCAGATGATGGATTCAGCAAGTCACTTATAAATGTCTCTCCAGCAGATCTAAAAGTCAGCTGCCTTGTGACTGCCTCAGCAGTTGTCGCTACAGATGTAGTGGTTGTGGGAGTTGTTGTGGTTGTAGTTGTGACCGTTGTTGTTGTAGTTGTAGCAGCAATAATTGGAGTTGCAGCACTGGCCATTGTATTTGTTGTAGCTGTAGTATTTAAAGTGGGGGCTGCAGTTGTTTCTATAAAAACATGTAGAACAATGTGAAGAAATATGTAAAAAACACATTGTGGCCAAAGGGCATCTATTGGACAAACATATACATTACAATATACTGTACTGTATGTGGTATGTGATAATTATGATGATAGTTGAGACAGCCATTGATGTTGACCCACCAGTTGGTGTTGGGACAACAGTTGTCATAGATCCCCCAGTTGTTGTTGATACTCCAGTAGCTGATGTACCAGTTGTTGTTGAAGCTCCTGTTGTAGTTGAGGCAGCAGTTGTTATTGACCCACCAGTTGTAGTTGATGCACCACTAGTTGTTGAAGCTCCTGTTGTAGTTGACCCACCAGTTGTCGTTGAACCTCTAGTTGTTGTTGACCCACTAATTGTTGTTGTTGAACCTCCAGTTATAGTTGAGGCAACAGTTGTTGTTGATCCCCCAGTTGTAGTTGGTGCACCAGTTGTTGAAGCTACAGCTGTAGCAGGCAGCAGTTGAAGAAATATGTAAAAAAAAAAAAAAAAAAGACATTCTAGCCAGAGGGCATCCTTTTGACAAACATATACATTACAATATACTGTACTGTATGTTTATGTTTGGAAAGTAATGGTAAAGGACAGTTAAAGTGGTCTTGCTGATATTTGCCACAGTGGACTCTATGTTAATTATGATAAATGCTTATAATAATTTTATTGCAAGGTCAGTAATGCTATTGGCAGTGAAAAAAGCCTTTAAACCGTAACCATCATTGTAGTAGGGTGGTTATTTTCAGATAAAATTCTGGAGTATATCAAATAGATTAAATAGTACTAATCCAGTAATTACTTCCTTTTGTTGATTGAGACAACAGAATTGTTTACTGACCAACACTAAAAATAAGCACACACACTGGTGTCACAGACAGTGATGGATACATGACTTGCTTGCTTTAACAAACAGTTCTGTAATCTTGTAAATTTTTGATGAGGTAGCTTTCAGTATTGCTTACGTGTGCCATTCACAGAAATGGAAGTGGTGTCAATGTTGAAGGCTGTGATGTTTGAAGCTGCGCTGACCAAAGTATTTCCAATCTGAGTGTCATTAGGTACAGATGCAGATGCAAATCCTAGGTCCATGGTGTTGATGATTGATCCATTACTGCAAAAGGATTTACCAAAATATATGGTTTCAATCAGATGAATTCATTAACCATTCTCCTTAAGATTCTATCAAACTAAAGCATCAACAAAATTATTACCTGAAAGAAATCACTGTCAAGGAGCGGAATGAAGGAAATGCGTTTCGGTAGAAAGGTTCAAGCTGCAGAAATGAAAGCAAACCAACTGTAAGTACAGGAATTAAATATCATCTAATAAAGAACAGGATTTCTATTTTCCACCCATTCTGAAATGAGGAACAATCTAGTGCCCATTACGAAGTATTAGAGGCACCAGCTCTTAAACAAATTGAATTAGAAATGTGGGGGTAAAGGATGTTCTTTAATTTACTTGATACAATCTAACTGTACAATTTGATGGGAAATTTACGATATGCAGATTTTAGGCAAATATGAAACAGGATAAATGTGTTGGCAAATATGAAAGATGAATGTGTGAATGATAAGAATATATATATTAATAAATATAAATTTAAGATATATTTATAATACTGTGACATAATAAACATCTTGTAAAACATTGCCAATTGATTAGGATGCATACAGTGTGCTAAGTTTCACTCTAAGAGACACTTACTGTTGATTTTATCATTGTGGCTCGACTTGTAAATGCTGCAGATGATGGATTCAGCAAGTCACTTATAAATATCTCTCCAGCAGATCTAAAAGTCAGCTGCCTTGTGACTGCCTCAGCAGTTGTCGCTACAGATGTAGTGGTTGTGGGAGTTGTTGTGGTTGTAGTTGTGACCGTTGTTGTTGTAGTTGTAGCAGCAATAATTGGAGTTGCAGCACTGGCCATTGTATTTGTTGTAGCTGTAGTATTTAAAGTGGGGGCTGCAGTTGTTTCTATAAAAACATGTAGAACAATGTGAAGAAATATGTAAAAAACACATTGTGGCCAAAGGGCATCTATTGGACAAACATATACATTACAATATACTGTACTGTATGTGGTATGTGATAATTATGATGATAGTTGAGACAGCCATTGATGTTGACCCACCAGTTGGTGTTGGGGCAACAGTTGTCATAGATCCCCCAGTTGTTGTTGATACTCCAGTAGCTGATGTACCAGTTGTTGTTGAAGCTCCTGTTGTAGTTGAGGCAGCAGTTGTTATTGACCCACCAGTTGTAGTTGATGCACCACTAGTTGTTGAAGCTCCTGTTGTAGTTGACCCACCACTTGCTGTTGAACCTCCAGTTGTAGTTGACCCACCAGTTGTCGTTGAACCTCTAGTTGTTGTTGACCCACTAATTGTTGTTGTTGAACCTCCAGTTATAGTTGAGGCAACAGTTGTTGTTGATCCCCCAGTTGTAGTTGGTGCACCAGTTGTTGAAGCTACAGCTGTAGCAGGCAGCAGTTGAAGAAATATGTAAAAAAAAAAAAAAAAGACATTGTAGCCAGAGGGCATCCTTTGGACAAACATATACATTACAATATACTGTACTGTATGTTTATGTTTGGAAAGTAATGGTAAAGGACAGTTAAAGTGGTCTTGCTGATATTTGCCACAGTGGACTCTGTGTTAATTATGATAAATGCTTATAATAATTTTATTGCAAGGTCAGTAATGCTATTGGCAGTGAAAAAAGCCTTTAAACCGTAACCATCATTGTAGTAGGGTGGTTATTTTCAGATAAAATTCTGGAGTATATCAAATAGATTAAATAGTACTAATCCAGTAATTACTTCCTTTTGTTGATTGAGACAACAGAATTGTTTACTGACCAACACTAAAAATAAGCACACACACTGGTGTCACAGACAGTGATGGATACATGACTTGCTTGCTTTAACAAACAGTTCTGTAATCTTGTAAATTTTTGATGAGGTAGCTTTCAGTATTGCTTACGTGTGCCATTCACAGAAATGGAAGTGGTGTCAATGTTGAAGGCTGTGATGTTTGAAGCTGCGCTGACCAAAGTATTTCCAATCTGAGTGTCATTAGGTACAGATGCAGATGCAAATCCTAGGTCCATGGTGTTGATGATTGATCCATTACTGCAAAAGGATTTACCAAAATATATGGTTTCAATCAGATGAATTCATTAACCATTCTCCTTAAGATTCTATCAAACTAAAGCATCAATAAAATTATTACCTGAAAGAAATCACTGTCAAGGAGCGGAATGAAGGAAATGCGTTTCGGTAGAAAGGTTCAAGCTGCAGAAATGAAAGCAAACCAACTGTAAGTACAGGAATTAAATATCATCTTATAAAGAACAGTATTTCTATTTTCCACCCATTCTGAAATGAGGAACAATCTAGTGCCCATTACAAAGTATTAGAGGCACCAGCTCTTAAACAAATTGAATTAGAAATGTGGGGGTAAGGGATGTTCTTTAATTTACTTGATACAATCTAACTGTACAATTTGATGGGAAATTTACGATATGCAGATTTTAGGCAAATATGAAACAGGATAAATGTGTTGGCAAATATGAAAGATGAATGTGTGAATGATAAGAATATATATATTAATAAATATAAATTTAAGATATATTTATAATACTGTGACATAATAAACATCTTGTAAAACATTGCCAATTGATTAGGATGCATACAGTGTGCTAAGTTTCACTCTAAGAGACACTTACTGTTGACTTTATCATTGTGGCTTGACTTGTAAATGCTGCAGATGATGGATTCAGCAAGTCACTTGTAAATGTCTGTCCAGCAGATCTAAAAGTCAGCCGCCTTGTTGTGACTGCCTCAGCAGTTGTCGCTACAGATGTAGTGGTTGTAGGAGTTGTTGTGGTTGTAGTTGCGACCGTTGTTGTTGTAGTTGTAGCAGCAATAATTGGAGTTGCAGCACTGGTCATTGTATTTGTAGCAGTTGTAGCTGTAGTATTTAAAGTGGGGGCTGCAGTTGTTTCTATAAAAACATGTAGAACAATGTGAAGAAATATGTAAAAAACACATTGTGGCCAGAGGGCATCTATTGGACAAACATATACATTACAATATACTGTACTGTATGTGGTATGTGGTAATTATGATGATAGTTGAGACAGCCATTGATGTTGACCCACCAGTTGGTGTGGAGGCACCAGTTGTCGTAGATCCCCCAGTTGTTGTTGATACTCCAGTAGCTGATGTACCAGTTGTTGTTGAAGCTCCTGTTGTAGTTGAGGCAGCAGTTGTTGTTGACCCACTAATTGTTGTTGTTGAACCTCCAGTTATAGTTGAGGCAACAGTTGTGGTTGATCCCCCAGTTGTAGTTGACGCACCAGTTGTTGTTGAGACATCAGTTGAAGTTGATGCACCAGTTGTAGTTGACGCACCAGTTGTAGTTGATGCACCAGTTGTAGTTGATCCACCATTTGCTGTTGATCCACCAGTTGTAGTAGATCCCCCAGTTGCTGTTGACCCTCCAGTAGCTGACGTACCAGTTGTTGTTGAAGCTCCTGTTGTAGTTGAGGCAGCAGTTGTTGTTGACCCACCAGTTGTCGTTGAACCTCTAGTTGTTGTTGACCCACTAATTGTTGTTGTTGAACCTCCAGTTATAGTTGAGGCAACAGTTGTTGTTGATCCCCCAGTTGTAGTTGACGCACCAGTTGTAGTAGATCCCCCAGTTGTTGTTGATACTCCAGTAGCTGATGTACCAGTTGTTGTTGAAGCTCCTGTTGTAGTTGAGGCAGCAGTTGTTGTTGACCCACTAATTGTTGTTGTTGAACCTCCAGTTATAGTTGGCGCACCAGTTGTTGTTGAAGCTACAGGTGTAGTACATACATAGTACATATACATTACAATATACTGTACTGTATGTTTATGTTTGGAAAGTTATAGTAAAGGACAGTTAAAGTGGTCTTGCTGATGCTGACCAACACTAAGAATAAGCACACACACACACACACACACACACACACACACACACACACACACACACTGGTGTCACAGACAGTGATACATGCCTTGCTGCTGGAGTGCAATACAAGTGTACTTTTACTTACGAACTACTTTGATGGAGTCAGTCTGAACAGAGAGGTTGAAATTGTTGCTGGAGTTAGACACAGCTTCTATTAAGGTGTCTGCCACATCACCTGACTGTGGGATATCAGAAGATGATGCAGTATTGTTGAACTCAACCCCCACCTCTGCTTCAGTATTTTCCATTCGTGTTCTGGTCACAGCTTGTCTGCATCAAAAAAGCACACATCATAATGAAATTATATTAACATTGATAATTTATGTGTAACTATTCCACTTTTTGCCATTAATAACAATCCAGAAAGTAAAGCAAAGTCTCTTTATAAGAATTTAAAATCTTACCTAAAAGCTATGACAAAACTGCGGATGAAGAGGAGGCCATATCTTTTCTTGTAGATAACATTATACTGTGGGAAGGAAGCAAACAGGAAAATATAAACAAACAAATACATTATTCTCCAAGTGAAATTAAGAACTGAAAACTCTCTTAAAGGTGGGGTCAGTCATTCTGGAGAAAGCCTGACCTTTCCCAGGTCATTCAAATATGTGTCAAATACTGGCACTTAGAGTTCCCAGGTCCTGCAAGCACAAAAAACACCTGTTTTATTGTGTGACTTGCCCCAGGCCACTTTGATTCCCATTTACCATAACCCAAAGTGTTGGTATTTGACAACCTGGGAATGAGGCTCAAATCAACTGGCTTTCTCCAGAATAAGTGACCCCACCTTTAATACACTTAGAAAGATAATGAGCTATTGTACTCACCACTGCGACAACTTTTGCCTCAAGACTCTTAAATTGTGCACTGTTTGAATCTTTTAATTCTTCTACAAATGGTTCGACTATGATTGCTGCGATAACCACAACTGGCTGGACAGGTGCATTAGTTGTAGTAGTTGTTGTTGCTGTTGTTCCAACAGATGTTGTTGAAGCAGAGGTTGTTGTGGATCCAGTAGTTGTTGTTGAACCTCCAGTTGTAGTTGAGACAGCTGTTGATGTCGACCCACCAGTTGTAGTTGATGCACCAGTTGTTGTTGATCCTTCAGTTATAGTTGATGCACCAGTTGTTGTTGAACTTCCAATTGTAATTGAGACAGCAGTTGTTGTTGTTGTTGTTGTTGATCCGCCAGTTGTTGATGCACCAGTAGTTGTTGATGCACCAGTTGTTGTTGACCCTTCAGTAGTTGATGCACCAGTAGTTGTTGAGCTTCCAGTTGTAGTTGACGCACCAGATGTTGTTGACCCACTAGTTGTTGTTGACCCACTAGTTGTTGTTGATCCACCAGTTGTTGTTAAACCTCCCGTTGTTGTTGATGTGCCAGTTGTTGTTGACTCTCCCGTTGTAGTTGAGGCAGCAGTTGTTGTTGACCCACCAGTTGTTGATCCACCAGTTGTTGTTGAGGCAGCAGTTGTTGAACCGCCAGTTGTTGTTGAACCTCTTGTCGTAGTTGAGGCAGCAGTTGATGTTGATTCACCAATTGTTGTTGATGAGCCAGTTATTGTTGACCCACCAGTTGTTGATCCGCCAGTTGTTGTTGAACCTCCCGTTGTAGTTGAGATAGCAATTATTAAACCTCCTATTGTAGTTGAGGCAGCAGTTGTTGTTGATTCACTAGTTGTTGTTGATGGGCCAGTTATTGTTGACCCTCCTGTTGTAGTTGAGGCAGCAGTTGTTGTTGATTCACTAGTTGTTGTTGATGCAGCAGTTATTGTTGACCCTCCTGTTGTAGTTGAGGCAGCAGTTGTTGTTGATCCACCAGTTGTTGTTGAGGCAGCAGTTGTTGAACCGCCAATTGTTGTTGAACCTCCTGTTGTAGTTGATGCAGCAGTTGTTGATTCACCAGTTGTTGCTGATGCACCAGTTGTTGTTGACCCTCCTGTTGTAGTTGTGTCAGCAGTTGTTGTTGACCCACCAGTTGTTGATCCACCAGTTGTTGTTGAACCTCCAGTTGTTGTTGATGCGCCAGTTGTTGTTGACCCTCCTGTTGTAGATGAGGCAGCAGTTGTTGTTGACCCACCAGTTGTTGATTCACCAGTTGTTGTTGAGGCAGCAGTTGTTGTTGATTCACCAAGTATTGTTGATGTGGCAGTTATTGTTGACCCTCCTGTTGTAGTTGAGGCAGCAGTTGTTGTTGATCCACCAGTTGTTGTTGAGGCAGCAGTTGTTGAACCGCCAGTTGTTGGTCCGCCACTTGTTGTTAAACCTCCCGTTGTTGTTGATGCACCAGTTGCTGTTGACTCTCCCGTTGTAGTTGAGGCAGCAGTTGTTGTTGACCCTCCTTTTGTAGATGAGGCAGCAGTTGTTGTTGACCCACCAGTTGTTGATCCACCAGTTGTTGTTGAACTTCCTGTTGTAGTTGAGGCAGCAGTTGTTGTTGACCCACCAGTTGTTGGTCCGCCACTTGTTGTTAAACCTCCCGTTGTTGTTGATGCACCAGTTGCTGTTGACTCTCCCGTTGTAGTTGAGGCAGCAGTTGTTGTTGACCCTCCTTTTGTAGATGAGGCAGCAGTTGTTGTTGACCCACCAGTTGTTGATCCACCAGTTGTTGTTGAACTTCCTGTTGTAGTTGAGGCAGCAGTTGTTGTTGACCCACTAGCTGTTGATCCACCAATTATTGAACCTCCCGTTGTTGTTGACCCACCAGTTGTTGATCCACCAGTTGTTGAACCTCCCATTGTAGTTGTGGCAGCAGTTGTTGTTGATCCAACAGTTGTTGTCGAACCCCCTGTTGTAGTTGAGGCAGCAGTTGTGGTTGACCCATCAGTTGTCGATCCGCCAGTTGTTGTTGAACCTCCTGTTGTAGTTGAGGCAGCAGTTGTTGATCCACCAGTTGTTGTTGAACCTCCTGTTGTAGTTGAGGCATCAATTGTTGTAGACCCACCAGTTGTTGATGACCCTCCAGTAGATGATGTACCAGTTGCTGTTGAACCTCCTTTTGTAGTTGATGCACCAGTTGTTGTTGACCCTCCTGTTGTAGTTGAGGCAGCAGTTGTGGTTGACCCTCCAGCAGTTGTTGTTGATGGGGCAGTTGTTGTTGGCCCTCCCACTGTAGTTGAGGTAGCAGTTGTTGTTGACCCATCAGTTGTCGATCCACCAGTTGTTGTTGAACCTCCTGTTGTAGTTGAGGCAGCAGTTGTTGTTGATCCAACAGTTGTTGTCAAACCTGTTGTAGTTGAGGCAGCAGTTGTGGTTGACCCTTCAGTTGTTGATCCACCAGTTGTTGTTGATGCGCCAGTTGTTGTTGACACATCAGTTGTCGATCCGCCAGTTGTTGTTGAACCTCCTGTTGTAGTTGAGGCAGCAGTTGTTGTTGACTCACCAGTTGTTGATGCGGCAGTTGTTGTTGACCCATCAGTTGTCAATCCACCAGTTGTTGTTGAACCTCCTGTTGTAGTTGAGGCAGCAGTTGTTGATCCACCAGTTGTTGTTGAACCTCCTGTTGTAGTTGAGGCATCAATTGTTGTAGACCCACCAGTTGTTGATGACCCTCCAGTAGATGATGTACCAGTTGCTGTTGAACCTCCTGTTGTAGTTGATGCACCAGTTGTTGTTGACCCTCCTGTTGTAGTTGAGGCAGCAGTTGTGGTTGACCCTCCAGCAGTTGTTGTTGATGGGGCAGTTGTTGTTGGCCCTCCCACTGTAGTTGAGGTAGCAGTTGTTGTTGACCCATCAGTTGTCGATCCACCAGTTGTTGTTGAACCTCCTGTTGTAGTTGAGGCAGCAGTTGTTGTTGATCCAACAGTTGTTGTCGAACCTGTTGTAGTTGAGGCAGCAGTTGTGGTTGACCCTTCAGTTGTTAATCCACCAGTTGTTGTTGATGCGCCAGTTGTTGTTGACACATCAGTTGTCGATCCGCCAGTTGTTGTTGAACCTCCTGTTGTAGTTGAGGCAGCAGTTGTTGTTGACTCACCAGTTGTTGATGCGGCAGTTGTTGTTGACCCATCAGTTGTCAATCCACCAGTTGTTGTTGAACCTCCTGTTGTAGTTGAGGCAGCAGTTGTTGATCCACCAGTTGTTGTTGAACCTCCTGTTGTAGTAGATCCCCCAGGTGTTGTTGAACCTCCTGTTGTAGTTGAGGCAGCAGTTGTTGTTGACCCACCAGCTGTTGATCCACCAATTATTGAACCTCCCGTTGTTGTTGATCCACCAGTTGTTGAACCTCCCATTGTAGTTGTGGCAGCAGTTGTTGTTGATCCAACAGTTGTTGTCAAACCTCCTGTTGTAGTTGAGGCAGCAGTTGTGGTTGACCCTCCAGTTGTTGACCCACCAGTTGTTGTTGACCCATCAGTTGTCGATCCGCCAGTTGTTGTTGAACCTCCTGTTGTAGTTGAGGCAGCAGTTGCTGTTGACTCCCCAGTTGTTGTTGACCCATCAGTAGTTGATGTACCAGTTGCTGTTGAACCTCCTGTTGTAGTTGATGCACCAGTTGTTGTTGACCCTCCTGTTGTAGTTGAGGCAGCAGTTGTGGTTGACCCTCCAGCAGTTGTTGTTGATGGGCCAGTTGTTGTTGACCCTCCTGTTGTAGTTGAGGCAGCAGTTGTTGTTGACTCACCAGTTGTTGATGCGGCAGTTGTTGTTGACCGATCAGTTGTCGATCCACCAGGTGTTGTTGAACCTCCTGTTGTAGTTGAGGCAGCAGTTGTTGATCTGCCAGTTGTTGTTGAACCTCCTGTTGTAGTTGAGGCAGCAGTTGTTGTTGACTCACCAGTTGTTGACCTCTAAATACATGCTGTTGAACCTCCCATTGTAGTTGAGGCAGCAGTTGTTGTTGACCCTCCCACTGTAGTTGAGGCAGCAGTTGTTGTTGACCCACCAGTTGTTGTTCCGCCAGTTGTTGTTGAACCTCCTGTTGTAGTTGAGGCAGCAGTTGTTGTTGACTCACCAGTTGTTGATGCGGCAGTTGTATTTGACCCATCAGTTGTCGATCCACCAGTTGTTGTTGAACCACCTGTTGTAGTTGAGGCAGCAGTTGTTGATCCACCAGTTGTTGTTGAACCTCCTGTTGTAGTAGATCCCCCAGTTGTTGTTGATCCTCCAGTTGTAGTTGACACACCAGATGTTGTTGACCCACCAGTTGTTGTTGAACCTCCTGTTGTACTTGAGGCAGCAGTTGTTGTTGACTCACCGGTTGTTGTTGAACCTCCCATTGTAGTTGAGGCAGTAGTTGTTGTTGACTCCCCAGTTGTTGTTGACCCATCAGTAGTTGATGTACCAGTTGCTGTTGAACCTCCTGTTGTAGTTGATGCACCAGTTGTTGTTGACCCTCCTGTTGTAGTTGAGGCAGCAGTTGTGGTTGACCCTCCAGCAGTTGTTGTTGATGGGCCAGTTGTTGTTGACCCTCCTGTTGTAGTTGAGGCAGCAGTTGTTGTTGACCCACCAGTTGTTGATCCAACAGTTGTTGTCGAACCTCCTGTTGTAGTTGAGGCAGCAGTTGCTGTTGACTCCCCAGTTGTTGTTGACCCATCAGTAGTTGATGTACCAGTTGCTGTTGAACCTCCTGTTGTAGTTGATGCACCAGTTGTTGTTGACCCTCCTGTTGTAGTTGAGGCAGCAGTTGTGGTTGACCCTCCAGCAGTTGTTGTTGATGGGCCAGTTGTTGTTGACCCTCCTGTTGTAGTTGAGGCAGCAGTTGTTGTTGACTCACCAGTTGTTGATGCGGCAGTTGTTGTTGACCGATCAGTTGTCGATCCACCAGGTGTTGTTGAACCTCCTGTTGTAGTTGAGGCAGCAGTTGTTGATCTGCCAGTTGTTGTTGAACCTCCTGTTGTAGTTGAGGCAGCAGTTGTTGTTGACTCACCAGTTGTTGTTGAACCTCCCATTGTAGTTGAGGCAGCAGTTGTTGTTGACCCTCCCACTGTAGTTGAGGCAGCAGTTGTTGTTGACCCACCAGTTGTTGATCCGCCAGTTGTTGTTGAACCTCCTGTTGTAGTTGAGGCAGCAGTTGTTGTTGACTCACCAGTTGTTGATGCGGCAGTTGTTGTTGACCCATCAGTTGTCGATCCACCAGTTGTTGTTGAACCACCTGTTGTAGTTGAGGCAGCAGTTGTTGATCCACCAGTTGTTGTTGAACCTCCTGTTGTAGTAGATCCCCCAGTTGTTGTTGATCCTCCAGTTGTAGTTGACACACCAGATGTTGTTGACCCACCAGTTGTTGTTGAACCTCCTGTTGTACTTGAGGCAGCAGTTGTTGTTGACTCACCGGTTGTTGTTGAACCTCCCATTGTAGTTGAGGCAGTAGTTGTTGTTGACTCACCAGTTGTTGTTGACCCTCCAGTAGTTGATGTACCAGTTGCTGTTGAACCTCCTGTTGTAGTTGATGCACCAGTTGTTGTTGACCCTCCTTTTGTTGTTGAGGCAGCAGTTGTGGTTGACCCTCCAGCAGTTGTTGTTGATGGGCCAGTTGTTGTTGACCCTCCCGTTGTAGTTGAGGCAGCAGTTGTTGTTGACCCACCAGTTGTTGTTGAACCTCCTGTTGTAGTTGAGGCAGCAGTTGTTGTTGACTCACCAGTTGTTGATGCGGCAGTTGTTGTTGACCGATCAGTTGTCGATCCACCAGTTGTTGTTGAACCTCCTGTTGTAGTTGAGGCAGCAGTTGTTGTTGACTCACCAGTTGTTGTTGACCCACCAGTTGTTGTTGAACCTCCTGTTGTAATTGAGGCAGCAGTTGTGGTTGACCCTCCAGCAGTTGTTGTTGACCCTCCAGTTGTAGTTGAGGCAGCAGTGGTTGTTGATCCACCAGTTGTTGATCCACCAGTTGTTGTTGAACCTCCTGTTGTAGTTGAGGCAGCAGTGGTTGTTGACCCAGCAGTTGTTGATCCACCAGTTGTTGTTGAACCTCCCATTGTAGTTGAGGCAGTAGTTGTCATTGACCCACCAGTTGTTGATCCACCAGTTGTTGTTGAACCTCCAATTGTAGTCGAGGCAGCAGTCGTTGTTGACCCACCAGTTGTTGACCCACCAGTTGTTGATCCGCCAGTTGTTGTTGAACCTCCTGTTGTAGTTGAGGCAACAGTTGTTGATCCGCCAGTTGTTGTTGAACCTCCTGTTGTAGGTGAGGCAGCAGTTGTTGTTGACTCACCAGTTGTTGATGCGCCAGTTGTTGTTGTCCCTCCAGTAGTTGATTCACCAGTTGTTGTTGAACCTACCATTGTAGTTGAGGCACCAGTCATTGATCCATCAGTTGTTGTTGTTGAACCTCCTGTTGTAGTTGAGGCAGCAGTTGTTGTTGACTCACTAGTTGTTGTTGATGCGCCAGTTGTTGTTGAACCTCCCATTGTAGTTGAGGCAGCAGTTGTTGTTGACGCTCCAGTTGTTGTTGATGCAGCACTTGATGTAGGTCCTGCAGTTGTTGCAACACTGGTCGTTGTTGACCCTCCTGTTGTAGTTGAAGCTCCAGTTATTGATGTTTGAGCATTAGCCACTATTTGTAACAAACAGAAGGATTAATTATTTTTTCCAGAGCACTATAAACAACTTTGTATTTCATTAATACCCTACTTACGTGTAAGTATGAGCAAAATTGATAAGATTTGTCCAGCACCCATGGTTCCTGCCCTTGAACCTGCAACATTTGACTCACAAAATCAGTATATATACAGCTAACAGCTTAATATCTTAATAGCCCCTGGATTAATTATACAATAATTAATTATATAAATAAAGAAATCACAATGTTAAACTGATGCACAGTTCTAGCACTTTCAGCCCTCTATGTTGTACTGTCAGTTATACCAAATAAACTGGTTTTGGTTTCCCTGGAAGTTCACATTTGATTTATGATTGTAGGATTTGGTGAAAATTACTTTCTCACAGTTTTGTGAGTTATGTAATGTATGTTATCTGAAAAAAACAAATGATTTTATGAAATTGTGAAAAACTAAAATAGACAGAGCACTTGTGGTAATCTGTGTCTGCTGCATCTGTCTCTGTCTTCTTCAGAATTAATGATAGAGTGCCCCCATGATAGTGTGAGATACTTTGAATTATTATTAATAACTATTACGGTCTCCGCACAGTGATTTTTCATGCCAAAAGAGCGCCACCTAGTGGCGTATTTTTTTGTCCTTTTTAAGTGAGCCTCAGGGAGCCATGGGGAAGCATCGTACCAAGTTTCATCTTAATCACACATACCGTTGTAGAGATATAAACTTCTTCATTTTAAAGAGCGCCACCTAGTGGTGATGGCCTGAAATTGTGCACGATGCTTAAGGAAGACATCTGGAACTATGCACCGAAGTTTGGTGTCAATTGGACATACCAATGTGGAGAAATGGTCCACTTCCTTTTTTGACGAAAAATCCACACGAAGTGCTAATCTTATAACGTGCTGTTTTTTTGAAATATCAAAATTCTTTGAATTATTTTTTTTTATGAGGGTCCTCAGATGCCATGTGAAAAATTTTGTGCGAATCGGACAAAGCGCATGGCAGGAACACAAAAAAGTAATTTACGGACATTTCGTGCTCTAGAAAAAAAAGATTCTTGGCGAAAGTGGGCGGGGCTTACATTGTAAGATTCAGCTCTATTCACCGAACGCGTGGATACAAGGTTTTTGAATGTGCGACAAACTATGCAGAAGTTATTAGCCTAAACGCATTTCTTATGATAGTAGCGCCACCTAGTGGCCAACCCGAAAGCGACACATAGAATATCAAATTTTTAACCAGGCCTGACCACTTTGCCAAATAAAATTGACTTTTCGTATATGTTCAGGGGGGCAAAATCGCAGTCAAAGGCGCTAAAAATATTAAGAAACAGCAAATACAATAGGGACCTTGCCGGTCGCTGGCTCGGTCCCTAATAAGTAGGAACACAAATTGACAAAGTAATGAAAAATTGGAATGATAGAATAAAGCACCTGTGACATATAACAAAAAGTATACCTCTGGGGTCTGCAAGGTACCCTAGTCAGTCGGAGGGTTAACCTTGACACTCAAGGTGAATATTCCTCATAGGTGATGACACACCAACGAACAAAACTAATTAAAATATCCCCTAGCTCTTGTGAAAAAAATAAATTTTTTCAAAAGTGGAAATGTAGCAAAAAACAAAAACAAAATTTCAGTAACATCAGAAATGTGTGTCATAATTATAATGCGGCCTTTTAAGACCTAGTCTAAAAAGCAATCTGGAAGTGTGAATAATATATTACATGGAAAGATAAAGGAGGTAGACTTAATGTCTTTTCTGGCTAAAACAAAACATTGTTAATACATTAGGGGTCTCAAACTCAAATTGCTGTGGAGCCACTGATATTGTCATCTGATATAGGAGGGCCACTTCAAGTACTACAAGAAAGCTCAATATTCTTAAAATATTTCCATTTCTGACATACCTAACGAAAACCTGTTCTATTCTTTGACCTTTGCCATTATTTTGCACCAAATCAAATCCATTTTTGATAGAATTGTCTTTTTATTTTAATTGTATATGAAGGGGCTGTTTAAATTTTTATGTGAACAACTAGAAAAAAAGAATAATGATCTTGCAGGCCGGATTATATAATATTTATAGACCCAGAGGTCTGAAATGATGAAATTTGAAATTCCTGTCATACATCCATCTGTTTTTGTTTTAGGTCCAATACATTGCATTATTTAATTATTTAATAATATCTAACATATAGGATGGATGCAATCAAAATAAAATTCATGTAAATAATACATGAAGAATAAATATATAAATAAAAGGCCAATAAAAGAACACCTTACAATAGCCCAATAAAGCAGCATTTCCCAAAAACGTGTGAATAATACATGCAATTAATACCTCCATATAGAATATAGTCACAAAAAATTACTTACCCATGGCGATAGTCACAAAAAATGTTGTTTAGATTTGCATTAATTTTATTCTTTTATTTGTATTAATTTTATACTTTTGTTTAGAGGCTCCTGGTGCACATCTCTTGTGAGGCCACCAGTTTGTGTTGGTCTTATATATTACTGCAAACTGAAATGACGTGTTGTTCACAGGAAATAAAAAAAAAAACAGAGGAAAAAACTTCCTTGACAGCTACCAGTTCATTTTCATGGTTTAGTCACTTGACAAGCCTGGGTAAAGTTACATTCCACTAAAGTGAACAAACAAGACGTCGTTATCTTATCTCATTTTCTTATCCCTCATACAGGTAAAGCTACAAGATACTTAATAATTGGTGTATTGATATAACGTGATAATATTTTGGAGATGGCTGAAGTAAAAAATAATTTTGACGTGAATTTTCTGCAAATTCCTTTTTCTTTGTCCAGCCACAGTGACTATCACAACTGACTACACAATCCTTCCTCTAGTCAGTCCAAAAGACTGGCTGTTGCATGACTTGCAGAGTATCTGTAAACAACTTCACATACCAGCAACAACATAAAAGCTTATTTTACATACATATTTTAGTTTCTTATTTTATTATATAAATGCATAGTTGGCCTGGGTACATTAGTGCAACTGTACATTTTGATGTTATCACTCTCATTCAAAGTTAATTGAAAGTCATGTGTAAAATATGCTAGTGAAAAGGTATGGCAACGTCATGTCTTTAACTGCCAAATTTAGCCATGACTGATTGGGTTGGGATTAATGCAAGTTACACACACTTTCTGAGTTATGACCCATCCCAATAAGATCATACTTAAATATTTAACATAATTGTGTGTATTCAAATCACTTATGAGGAATTACACTTACCCAAACAACCAAACGTCAGTAATGTGTAGCTTTTTGAGAATACAGTCAGATAATAACAGATGAATAAAGGTATTTTGGACACTTATAATATATTACAATACACCAGTGCCTTTTTTAACTGATCCACTGACTTTCTATGGGAGATCGATGGATTATGGGACTAAACTGGCACTACAAATGCACAAAGGCAGAAATCCAGGTGTACATCCAGGGTTAACAGTGTTCCTCATCAGAGGCCAGGCAAACAGTTTCACACTAATATCTCGACCTGATCTGAATAGAAACTCCACCCAAAGAGAAAATAAAGAAAAGAAAAACAAATCATGACACAGCGTATGCAAGAATAATTAGTTTATTGGAAGTGTCCAGTGTCCTAAACAACAAAGGTTTCAGAAGATTAAAAAAAATAAACAATGGGTTAAACAGAGAGAGAAAAATAAGTTTCAGTTGTGCAGGTTGATAAGATCACAAAAAAATCACCAAAACATCAGAAAGTCAGTAAACAAAAATCAATATGAAAGAAAACAAGTCAAATAAAATTAATTTGTTAAAGAAAAGTATGTAAAATAAATGTACACCTCCACCACTATGGTTAGGTAAGAACTATATGATAATTTCAGATACACAAGAACACAGAAGAAAAAGTATTCTCTAAATAATTTTATCTAAACAAAAACAAGAATAAGAACCTTAATCGAACTGCAAATTAAATTCATGGAGCCCATGAACAAAGACTTGACGTAACTAAAACAAATGAAGATTAAAACCTGAAACAACAAATATTTCAATTATGTGATAGGTTTGTTATCAGCATGAGGTTTTATTTTCAGAATATTATTTTCAAAGGTTGGACGTAAGAAACAGAATGTGGGTGTAACTGGCCTAACCACTACAAACACGTAAGAAGAAACACTATGGACATCATTCAGTGCACCGCTTACTTTAACAATCCTTGTTATAACCATCCATGGTATTTGTAACCAAGTGATATATCTATTTATGGCTTACACTGTCTACTTCGTAGCTAACAGTTTAGGCTATTTAAGAGTCTGCTGCACAAAATCAATGGACAGCTGAGCTAAGAAGATTATTATCATTCAGTTTGAGAGCTCTCAGGTGTGTCAGTTGCATCACATAAAATAAATCTACATATTTTGGGAGGATGGAACATGTGACTTGTGAGTTTCACAGGGACTTTCCTGCTATTATTTTTTTGGATATGCTCATTTGAAAGCATTTCAGGGCAATCCATCATTGTCGAAACATCTTATTTAGCATACGGTGAATTGGGATGTGTAGTGGCTCACGGTTTAGGTGATCATAGGTCAGACTGAAAATAAGGATTTCAAGCCTCCTCTGTCTAATTCACACTTCTGGGGCAATGTTGGGATCTGTGAAATTCAAAGAGAAAGATAATTTACTACCATGAATATTCATAATTAAAAAGACCAACCTGTCAGTCGAGGATTTTGCAATGGCTGGTAACTGTGGATGTATTAGTTATAAAATAAAAATACATTGCTGAAGATATGTATTCGAGGTTCAAGGTATCCATTTTGAAAGATACACTTACTTACTTGAGTTAAGAGTGATGCTACATCATATCTGAACAGTAAATATGAAACTACAGCCAGCAACCAGTTAGCTTAGCTTAGCATAAAGACTGGAAACAGAGAAACAGCTAGTCTGGTTCTGTTCAGTGGTAACAAAAACTAACAAATGAAATATAACATAGCCAGCATTTATGTTAAGCTCAACAGCTGAAGGCTGTAGCTTTATATTGTTATACAGACATGAGAGTGGTATACATTTATTTATCTAACTGTAATTTTAGTGAATGTGTTTCCGAAAATGTCAAAAACATTTGTAATTACCTCATTAGTGGTGTTCTAATCTGGCTCGTGTTGCTCCTCATTGAAGGCATTGGAAACTAGGAATGTGGTCCGGATCACAGTTTGGTAATCAAAGACAATGGGCCCTTATAGCAGCAATTTTGGGGCTATATCTGAAAAACACTGTTTTTCCCCCAGGTAAGGGAACAGATGTAGGATCAACTTGCTGCTATGTTGTATTGGTTTTGGCAGGATTTAGGGTTGATGCAGCCGAGGAAATTGACTAAGGTTGATTGCTGGAGCTGGATGGCACTGTTGCAGAGGCAGCATTTGACATGTTTGTTGGTGTAGCCATTAAAGAGTTGTTTACATTTTCAACAATAATAATTCCTGGACTTTGAGTAGGTGGTCCATGTGTCGATACAGACACCAAGGCTGTTTCAACATTTATAGTGTTGTCAGTCTGAGGTGATTTAAGAGATTGATGCTTTGATTCTGCTGTAGAGGATCGTTGAGGTGTTGGGTTTGAAGATGTAGTGCTGTATGAGTTATTTTGCATTTGTGAAGCAGAGGGGATGCCTGTTGATTGGGCAGTTTCTAATGTAGATGTACCAGTTGTCAGTTTATTGGATGTTTTGGGAAGTTCTGATGAATATCCAACAGTTTGTGTACTTATGGATGTAGTCAAAGTTCCTGAAGAGCCACTTAATGATGGACTTGTTTCATGGGTGATGCTGATGAGTTTGGAGATGTTAGTCTTGATTGCTTGGTAGTCTTTAAACTACTACTAGAAGGGGTCATGGATGCTTGAGATTGTGATACTGTTGGTGCAGTGACAGTTTGTGACAAGCTATGAATTGTTGTTGATCCAGGGCTTTCGTTTGAAGCTGTGGGCAGTACTGGTGTTAAGGATGCTGATATAGATGTTGGTGAAGTGACTGAATCTGTTGTCACATATGCTGTACTTTGTCCTGACTGTGATTACAACTGTATTTTGTGTTGATCTCTCTGTTGATTTGTCAGCTGTGTGGTGGTGTTGTAACAGAAGACGCAGCTAAAGTGATTTGTAATGGTGCTGTGGTTGATTCTGCTGCTACAGATATACCATCTTGTATTTGTTCATTTGTTGGGGGTGGAATCAATTGTTTTTGGGTAGTTGTGGGCACTGTTTCTACAGATCTTCTAGTTTGTGTTGTAAATGCTGTTACCATAGATGGGGTAGCTTGTGTTGGCATAGTCACCGATCCATTGCTTGCTGGTGTTGTGCTGTGAAGTGCTGTTCCAGCTGCTTGGTTTGAAACTGTGGGCCATTCTGTTCTTAATGATGTTGTGCCAGAGGCTGTACTTGGTGGTTATTGGGTGGTTACAACCGTAGTATTTCTGCTTCTTCTCTCTGTTGTTTTATCAGCTGTAGATGTTGAAGTGATTTGTGATTGCATTGTAACAGATCTTCTTTGGTCTTGTTTATCTGTTGTTGATACGTGAGTGTCTGATTGTATTTCTGTTCTTCTACTTTCAGTTGATGTGGTTGTGAATCCTGTTGCCGCAGATAATGTACTTCGTGTTGAGACTGCTGATGATGTTTTTAGTAGGGTTGTGTTGGGTTTTGTTGCTATAAATGAGCTTTGTGTTTAAGCAGATTGTGTAACTTGTAATGGTGTTGTAGACCCTGTTATAATTGGTTCTGTGGATTTCATATGTGTGACTGTAGATGCGCCTGCCAAGGATGCTCTAGTTTGACTTTTGTTTGTTTTAGTGTGCCTTGTTGTAGATAGGATAGTGTGAGCTGGTGTTTTGGCTGCTGTTATTGCTTCAGATCGCAAACTCTGTGTTGTGACTGGGTCTGTTATGGAAGATACTATGCTTTGTTTCACTGTGGAACTTGATTCTGTGGCAAATTTGGTAGTGGCTTGAGTTGGTGTTGTAGCTGTGGTTTCTATCATCGCATTATCTGACTTGTCTGTCGAAGGTGCTCCGTGTCATTGTATTGTTGTTGAGTGCATCGTGGCTGTTGGTGGAGGTGTTGTGGTAGAGATTGATGGTGCAGAGTCAGTGATTTGTTTTGGTGATGATAGTAGAACAGACAGTTTTGGTGGATTCTGTCTCTATAGATGTAGTTGCTGTTTCTGTTACAGTTGGTATAACTGATGAACTCTTCTCAAATGAGCCTCCAACTGTGGAAGAGGAAAAGTTAAATGCTGTATTAACAGGAACTGAAGTTGACCAGTGGATGCAGAAGTAACTGTTGCTGCTGTTGCCAGGTTCAAAGTGGAATTTAATGCTTTAAAGTTAATCAGAGCTGATGAATTCACTGATGTGACCATCTCAGATACATAGTTAGTTTTGTTTGAGGTTAAATGTGGCTCCTTTGTCTGTGCTTTGTCTTTGTATGTAGATGTGG